CCCCGAGGCAATAGCTCGCGAGGCGAGCCTGGGTAGACATAGGCACGCGTACATCTGCAGATGTATATGGCGTCCGCCTGTGCGGTTCCGTGTGGAGGAGCCTCTGTGAGATCCCCGCGGAGGGCGGCAGGTCCTGGCTGAGGCGCCCAGCCCTCAGGGGGAGGCGGGCCGGAGCGGGCCGCTGTTGGGGCAGGGCCTCGTAGCGGGGGCGGGCTCCGTGCTGCCGTGGGTGTGGCGCCAGGAGCGCCTCGGCCAGCTAATTTGTAGGTAGTTTTCGTGCGCCTGTCCGTAGGAGCTCGGTTCTCTTACTGGGTCACGTGTTCGTCGAGTTTTCTCTCGGGCGACGTTTGCACAGGATCGGGAAGTTAGAACGTGTAAAGCCAATTTTTCAGCTGCATAGGTGAGAAAAACGATAGTGCTTCAGATTTCAAGTAGGTAAGAGAGAAAACATTAAGTATGGTTAGTAACCAGGCAGGATTTCTTTTGAAGAAGTATGGTCTAGGTATCTGCGTGCCTAAAGGTGGTTTGGACACAGACGTGCCGTTGAATTGGCTTAATAAGATATGAGAGGAGGTAAGGACCGTGCTTTGGTCTGTTCCTGTATTTATTTCGGCACCTGTCCAGATACCTATAGGAACATAATTCTGTCCCATCGTTTCTGAGCTCTTCACTTTCATCATGTGCGTGTACATCAGAAGAGGAGAAAAAAGGCCATGCCCTCCTGCTCATTCCAAATTGAATGAAACAGTTGAAACAATAAAAACGTTCTCTCAGAGTTGCTAATGAAACTTGAGGGTAATCAAGTCAGAAACCAGAAGGCCATCACAGCAGGGGGCAAATTCTAGATGTGGAAAGATGAATGTTCTGAAGATGACTGTAGTGTAAAGGTTGTAATTCATTTTGTATTAGGTGCAGTGTGTAGTATCACGAAATAGAGTATTTGTTTGTTAGTCTTCAAAAATTAAAAGTCTTTTCATCATGCTTCCGTATCTAACATAATCGTTAAAATTTGAGGAAGACTTAATGCGGCTTTTTATTTAGATGACTGTAATAGGTTATTGCCTGTTTGGGCTTTATTATACAGGCTGTTAATTTCAAATTTAATCAGATTTATAAGACCAAAATGCAGTTAAATAAAAAAATGTTGCTTTTCAACTTATTTTCTGACCTGAAACAATCCATTCTATTTATATCAGTTTTGACAAGAAAACTGATAGAAATTTATATAGTTAATAGATAGCCATCAACTCGCTGTCAGTTCCAGAAACTGAACCAAAAATGAGTATTCATCCTGGAAGTAGTGTGTTACAGAAATTCTTAAAACATAGTAAATAATTCAGTTTCCATGTACTGTGTTAGAAATGAGTATATCCTGGAAGTAGTGTGTTACAGAAATTCTTAAAACATAGTAAATAATTCAGTTTCCATGTGTTAGAAAAATAATGAAATCCATGAAGCTTATTTTATTAAACTCACTGTTTAAAAAGTAAAGTGTCTGAAATCAAAATTATTTTACTTGCTTACTCTTTGTGTGTGTAGCAATAGAATTGTGATTCTGTATGAAAAATATAATAGTTAAGAGTTAGGCTAATTCTTTGTGTTTAAATGTAACTTACACAGTAACAAATTTCTTTATCTTCCAAGTAATAGATCTGCATTAAATGTACATAGATTTTCCAAATTCAAATGGATAAATTCTTAAGTGAGGTCTAACTAAAATGTAAAATAACACTCCTTTTCACCACCATCCCCTTTTTTTTTCCCAGACAATTCAGAATATCTGTCAAAATACAACTAAGAATTTAGTAAATAAATGAAAAATACATTTGCATGGTCTATCAATAATATTAAAATAAAAATTCCTGTTGTGAGATTTTCTGCTTTTTATTTTCAGGGAAAACTGGTAAAGTTTTCTGGGAATAAATAGTTGGTAAATATAGTTACCTAACAAAAACAAGGTCTACTTTGCTGTCTTTCTCACCTCTGCCAGTTCCCCCAATGTGTGGGTTTTTTAGCCTTACAATTCAGTTCTGGAGGCATCTAGAAACTATAGCAGGTATGTGGGCAGGAGTACCACCAGCAGGAATTAGGGCACTCCTGACTGACAGTGGACTGATTGTTACCGCTGATGTAAAAGATGTTTTTGATTGTTTATCAGTTGCCACAGACTTACTGAAGTCTCCTGCTTCAGCTTGATTCCCTAAATGATTTGAAAAATATACATATATTTCTCAAAGAATAATCAACAGGTTTTATCTGCATTTAAGGATTGCTTCTGCCAGTTGGCTCAAAGGGAAGCAAGCCTGTTGCAATGCTGTGTAGTGCGGATTCAAGATTTTAGTGTAGTGCTTCTTATTATTTCTAAGCAGAAAGTAGATAATCAAACCTTCTGATACAATAGTTTTCAGAGAATAACCTTCATCTTTAACTTTCTTCCAAGAGTGTAAGAAAATCATCCATATGAAGTGTTGTGCTACAGTGGTATCTGAACTAGCACGTTTAATGTCACCTTGCAAGATATCTGTGCTGCTGTTTTGATGCTGTATTTGTCTTCTGTTGCAGATTTTTCTTCCTAAAGCCTTTTGAAACAGATGATCTCATTGTGGACTACCTGTAAAAAAGTTTTGGTAAGTTTAAAGTAATTATTATTACCATAGACATTTATTACGACATTTTTAACAATGAGCTGCTGTTTGTAAAAGCTGCTGTTATATGAATTTTAAATTCATCCTCAATTCCGTGTGCCAGGTCTCTGGTACAGCTGAAGAAAGAAGCAATTGTGTTGTACGCCATTTTTGAACAACAGTTGATTTGCTATTTGAGGAGTGGGGAAAGGGGAGGAATTGAGGAGAAAACCTACTCATTGGTATAGCAGGATGAAACTTGCAAGATTGTGTAACCAAATTTCTGCAATTCTAAAGAGAATATTTGATGTATCTGGTGAGAGGAGGGGAGCTGCAAGGGGAATTCAGTTAGGGAATTCTATCAGCTTTTCTTACTTTGGCTCTGTTAGTTCAGTCAAGCTGTATCCCAGTAACCAGTTATTCTTTGTGAATCATCATATTTAAGGTTACCTCATCTTGAGTTACAGCATCAGAAACATACTTCAAGCTTGTTTGGGGGCCACTAGGCTTCCAAAGACATCAGCTAAATGTTCAAACTGTATTCTTCAGTTTTGCTGAGTTAATTCACAGGCCCTCACTGTAAGGAGGGAGGTGGTTCCTCAGAAAGCTTCCAGCATACCTACAGTTTTTCCAGTTACATTTGCAATTTAAAAATAAACATAGACTTACAGTCTTGAGGTGACAAAGGCAAAAGAATGACAATTATTATACAGCTGTTATGACCTACTGGTAGTATATCTCAATCACAGGGACTGATGTGATACTTGACATACATTATAGTTGCTTCACTACATTCACCAGCTAGCATTGTATCCATTGGTTCTCTCAGGTCTGACCAGTTCACCAACTTACGCTCTTGCTTCCTCCAGACACTGCATAACACAATCACTGCTCAGTCAGTGAGGTGGAGGTAGAGAAGCTACACTTCTAATGTGCTAAAATAATAGCAGTTAGGAAATTCTTCTCTTACTAACAACTTTATAAAGCAATAACAGGGAGAGGCAGTGTAGGCCACCGCACAACAAGAAAAGAAAGAGTGATTCAAACCACTCTTTGAGGATGTACAACAAAGAACATGGTCAGCTGCAAATAGCCCTAGACAGCTCTTCTCTGATACTGTGGTGACTCTCCTAAAAGCTCTGACATTAATCTTCATTGATCATTTAGAAAATATTATGTACTAATATTACTGTATCTCTTTTTGTATGGTACCCAAGATCAGTAAATAGACAAAGATGAAGTAGGTCTTGAGTAAATATATACTCTGTCTGTAAAACAAAATTGTAATATCTGAGGTGCAGTCTTCCCGCTCTTAATAGGTTAGTTTTTCTTAAATTTAGCCATTCATTTACTATTGTCTTTCCTGATGTCCATGAATATATATTTGCTGTTCATTTAGCAAATGTTTCTGTGTTCCTTCTTTTTTCTCCTTTTCTGAACATACCTCATCTGAACTTTTATAAACTAATTCTTGCCTGGTTAATTAGCAGAACTTTGCTCTGCCTCAACTACGTAACATCTGTGAGTTCTCAGATGAAGAAACCAAAGCTTATGTGAAAATAATTCAGTTTACTGTTCAACAAAAGAAGAATTCAGAAATTACTCTTTCATTAAATAAGCATGTCATATCATGCCTGCGTTTGCAAAGGGTTTAATGCCCTCTCAAATGAGCTCACACAGAATCATTATCTCATGACGTCTTAGTTTTTTATACAGCAACATTGCCTGTCTGTCTTTGCTAGCTTCAAAAGGAGAGAGAAGGATTTAAAATGAGATTTTTATTTTTTTTTTTATTAAAGGGCTTTCATTCATTGGATTCTCTTTGTTGGTCTGGAGAAAGAAAGCTGAACAAAATTGGTTCCAATCACACTACAGCAAACAGAAATTTTAGCTGGAACAGATAGAATCTTGTATTAAAGCTACATGATAACTTCTATCTCTTTTGTGCACTTAGTAACATGATTATATTTTTGAACATAGAGTGTGAAAAGTGCATGGTCACGTGTAAGCAGAAATGTGGTTTTGGGATTACCTCACATTTTAATAAAAGAATGCATAGTTCTTGTTCTTGGTATGCATGTGTGTCACAACCAGTTCAGGGTGGCTACCATGGTTCTACTGTGTCATCACTGTGACAACTGTGCTGGCATGAGACTGGTAGGTTAATCAGAAACACTGATTATGACAGGCAGTAAACAATGAAGGGGTGACGAGTTTCATGTTCTGAGAACCTAGTTGAATTCCTAGCATATCATCTTTCACCAGGGAACAGTGAAGGTCTTGGGGAGTCCATTCCAATTGTGCTTGAAAATCACTTACAGTGCTGCTTTTTATCTTGGTCCTCCAAAGTTTGAGGTATCTCTGTGACTTGACGTCAGTAAGGTTTGGTGTGTGACTTAAGAGAATAAGGACTGTTGGCCATCCCTGTTTTATAACGTTAGATTTGGTGAGTACTGTGGATGAAAGGGTGTGTGTGTGGATGTGTGTGTGTTAATTACAGAATATTCCATGTGAATAAGCAGAAAAATACCAGATATGTTTTTGTGACTGTTTTTATAACAACGTAATAAGCAGTTCTCTTCAGCTTTCTGACTTAGATTCTGAAAAACACGAGTTAAATTGTTATGTGATTAAGCATTAATGCATTTTACGCAAATTGTATTCTAGAATTGCTTTAGATCTACAGAACAGTTAGCAAACTCTTCGATGTTACAATGTACCTTCCAATATGATTCTTCCAACTAATTAGTGTGAAGAATTTAATTTTAATAGTGGTATTAGCTTAAATGCTCTGTGGTAAGTTATAATGAGAGACAGGAACATCCTGCCTGGTGAGAAGTGTACTATCCTGAAAAACTTCCAGTTGCTTACAGCTTTGCCCAATAGCACAAATATGTAGTTTGATGTTTTCTATTTGGAGAATGTCCCTTAGCTTGGACTTCTAAGCAAAGTAGGTGCAATTTATCTTGTTTTTTAAACAAGGGCACAAAAATGTTTCTTCTGTGTTTTCTACTCTTTCCTCTGAAATGTATGTTTTGGATGAGGAGGTATTTAGTGATTGGGGGTGTGGTGCCCTATATGTCAGAGAAGTACTTTTTTGCCATCTCTGTTTTTGCCATCTCAGTTTGAATGTGCTTAAGTAGAAGTTCAGCATAGTTTTGCAGTGTGATAGAATTATAATAACAGAGGAATAAAGAGTGAGAGCCAAGTATTAAGGCAGGAGGCCTCAAATTCTGGAAGTGTCTGGAAATGACAGAAATTCAGTTCTAGTAAATTTAGTCTAGATAATCACTTGCACAATAGTTATGAGAAGTTAGTGTTTTACAGTATTTTCAAATGTGATTTTGAATAACACGGAGCATCACTGAGGATGCTGTTGGTCCTCCAAAGTTTGAGGTAGGCAAAACTGACTGCAAATGTTAGAAGTTGCAAAGAAAAAGGTTCTAGCAAAATAAATAACTAGATTATAGTGGAGGGAAGTGGATGGAGAGAGAGTATTCACACTTAAAACACCAGTAGGTCTGACTGGCCTTTAGCAACCTAAAATCTGCACTAAAATGAATTTTCATATTCTCCATAATGAGTTTCTCCCTAAATCTTTGAAACTACTAGCTTCTTTGAGGGTTATCTGTCCTGGTAAGAATAAAAACAAGATAAGTGTTCTCTTTCAAAACCTGCCTCAAAATGCCTGTCAATATTTACTATACATTTATAAGTTGACACAGTGAAGGATTGATGAGATTATTAACAGTGGACTAGGATGACCCATTTCCCTGTCCTTCATGACTGCTTCTGCTGAGCTCTTTACCTCTCCTAGCTGCCCAAAGGAGAAATTCTGACATGTTCTGAGCAGGCTTCCAGAGAGTTGGAGGAAACCAACCCATTCTTTTACAGTCCCCGAAGGTGACCAAAGGATTCTTCAAATCTCACAAGTTTTCTGTGTACTGCCAGCACCCATGATGCACTCAAGAGATTTTTCATTCATTTTGCATAGTTGTTAATCATTAGACTCCACAATCAGGAGATCTGTTGGTGTCATTCACAATCTCTTACCTTCCACAGGCAAAACTCTTGGTATCGATAAGATCAGGATTTGACTTTAATTGACATGTGTAAGTTATGTACAATCTTTCAGATCCTACGGTAAAGTGAATGGTATCTGTTATATTCCAATCCCCTTCCAGGTTTCCTGTGGCTAATAGGATGAAAATGAGCTCCCATAGGTTTTCCAACTGTTCTTCTCAGTAGCAGAATTATGCCTTACTTTTGTTGCTGTGGGAAATTCTTTCTTCTTTCCGCTGTTGTAGGTTAAGGAACATTCTAGTAGGGTTATGACTAAGGAACAGACTAGAAATGTACATGATGAAAAATCACTTTTTATATCTTGTTGCGTGCCTGAACTCTGCTGATCTATTATACATCCATTCTGTTCAAAGGCTGATTGTGGCAATCGTTAACAAAAATAGATTAGGAAATAGTAACGGATTAGTCCATGTCTACATGTTAATTTACGTTCTGCCACAAAATAAATTACAGGGCATTGTGACCATACTTTGAACATGAGAGTAGGGAAAATATTCATACTGTCCTCAACCTGTTCACTTGAAAGAAAAGCAGTTGCTTTAGACTTACGTTGCATCTCAGAGGAAGACCTGTTCTTGTTCAGCTTTATGAATAAAAAAATGCTTAAAGGCAAAACAGCTCTTTTTTTTGGTCGTTATCTACTCTTGAGTCTTGGTTTTAGAATATTTGTCTGAATTACCTAAGATTCTATTTGGCTATGTAGTACCTCTAGCTTTACTGATAAAGAGTGGCCTGAAACAAATATGGTCACGTTACTAAGGATCAAAAGTTGGCTAAAAACAGATTTGCAGTAACTAATTTGGAAAAAAAAGAAAAGGAAAAAAGCTTATCAGAAAGTTGTTAGAGATGTGGGAGTCTGTTAAGAGCTCGAGAATACTTTTTGTCTTCGTATGGATTCACACAGAGCAAAAATATGTTGG